GGAGGGCAGTGTCACTGGCCCTCATATGTGGGATCCGAACCGGGGCCCTCTGGCATCCCAAGCCAGTTCTTAACCATCGCGCCACTCGGCCGGCCCCAGATCTATTCTTTACATAAATCAGCATCTCTACCTACGTGGCTACCCATAAGTGCCATTTTTGTATAACAATCTCTTTGCTCAAACAAGACAAGCAAGGAACCACCCTGAGTCCCCCATGTAATGAAATGTGGGTGACAGCACTACCACACTGGAAAAAGCACCAGACAAACAGTCACCTACTGTGGCCACCTGATCGTCTGCTTTAGATTTTAAAGTCGTTTTTCAATTCAGACATGAATTATAGAGTTCATGTTTGTCCACTCTGTCTTGCCCCAAAAACCCTGCCTTCTTATCATCTTATCCTTTCTGTCACGTAGGCTGGCAGTCGCATCACTGCCACTTAATATCCACGACAGGCTTTCAAATTTCTTATTTGGAATAAAAAGGTATAAGTTCAATTATCTTGCATGCTGTAATAATTAACATTAAAACATAAATGCAATACTTCTGTGAGACAGCCTAAAGCATTGCATCCAAGGCTGCAGCTGGGACAGTCACAGCACGAGGCAGCCCGTTACCTCGCTCGTCCGGAACGCCACTCGGTAGTTGAACTGCGACCCTTCTTTCTCCTTGGTGTCTTCCACCTTCTCCCTCCGGATGCTGACGGCCACGGGGCCCAGGTTCTCGTCGATCCCAAAGTAGTTCTGGTGCTCTGCGGCAGAAGAGAGAGGAGGTGTCAGTGGGAAGGGACAGAGCAGGATGGTCTGTGTGGGCTGGAGTGTCATCTGAGGAAACCCCGCAGGGCTCTGGGCACACGATGCCCCCAAATGTGTTTGATCACATTTTGGGAGGGGGGGTGGGTTCCAAAACAGGAGTACTTTTACACCTCATGTCTATCACTCCCTCGTCTTCTGCTTTTCAGCAGTTCATGAGCAGCAGCACTGGCCCTCTCCTGGAGAGATTTTGGTGTTATGTGAACAGCATCTTTGGAGAGAGTGCTGTCATCTTAGAAACTTGTCAAGACAGGACCCTGGCTATGTAAAGAACCATCACGCAACAGGTTTCCTCCAGCTGGACAGTCACCTTCTCTGACTGAGTGAGGGAGTGACCTAACTAGCTACTCAGGCTAGCCAGCATACTGGCGACCAGTGGGGTGGCAAAGGTCACCCTTTTATTATGATGTCATAAAAGCACCTACTAGTCCAAAGAAAATTTTAGCAAAGACAGAAAATACAAAAATGGTAACTAAGTTGCTGAGGTCAAATTATATATTCAAATACAATAACTTAGTTTACCATCTTATCAACGAATCATTTCTTTCACATAAAATTGCTGGTCCTGGAGGGATGTAAACTCACGCAGTCTCACTGTAGAAAGGGACCTTTGAGGCCCTCCCGCCCATTGAGCACAGGGTCCCGAGGACACTCTTCCTAAGACATGGCCATAAGCCTCCTGCTCATTCAACAGCTACGTGCCAGGCACTGTTTCCGGAGTGTGTCTTTTCTAGACACAGTCTAGAAAGAATCCCACTCGTGTAGCTAGTGGTCTAGTCTGAACTCTGCCAACAATGAGGCGGGGAGCTCACAACTGTGTGACAATCACGTCCGCACGGTGGCCGGAGGCCTCCTGTGAGCAAGCTTTGCTAAAGAACACAACCGAACTTTTTAAGTGTTATCTTCCGAAAGGATAAACGCAACACCACTCAGTTGTGGTCTGACCCATGCCAAACACAGGATGCAGTTGCCCAAATGTGTGCTCACGCAACTGATCTATCTTAGCAGCCATCACACAGGGAGAGTGGGAAGCGAAGCTGGGTTGTTAGTCATTCATTTCTTAATGGACACCTGCGGGTCAGCCCTCCCAGGTGCACAGTTATAAAATCGAGTTATGTCACCCTCCACACAAAATCACACTGGCTCCTTTTGAGTAGCACCCAATTGGTACGGGCCAATCTTTCCTGACTCGTAGTTAAGAAGACAAATAATATAGCAAACATTTATAAGCTTGAAGGAAAACCAGAAATATTCCAAAGGCTTTGAGTTGTGTGAACATTTCCTGCCAGAGTAATTTCTGAAGAAATAAGAAATATCACTCAGAAAGTAGATAACAGGGTGAATTCAACAGAAGGAAACGGCACCCGCGTCCCTCCACGTGACGTTACCCAAAGCCACCAGCAAGCACTGGCCAGGTCTCGAAAGGCACATCGTTCACTTCTTTACTTGTGGCCACCAAATGAGATTCATATTGACAGTATTTCTCTGCAGAGCCAGTAGGGGCTAAAAGCAGCAAGTCAACTGTTTTTTACTGAAAGGTGAAGGTCTGAGTACAACCCCGACTTATACAATAGGAAACCGCCTTCATTTTTTCATGGGTAACAACCCGGCCAAGAGAGTGCCCCCCCAACCCCGCAAAGACTTTTAAGTTTTCTTTCCTATAGAAATGTTAAGTATAGAAATGTTAAGTCTCCTCCCTAGTTTCTTAGCCCCTGGCTTTGATTACTCTTCTCATCAGTCTGTGAATCCTAGGCTAAAGATTGCTCCTAGCCTGAATCCTAGAATTCTCCTATTCTCCCCCCTTCCCCCCTGTGATCCCCCCCACACTTCTTGATTGCTTTGTAAATCAGTTTCTGAATCCTAAACAATAGAAGTCTCCCACCCCTGCTTCAGATAACTACTTGAAAGCCTGTGACTTCCTAACATCCCCCAGGCCAGTACACTGAATGCCAAACCCATTCTGGGCCCAGACAACTGCCGCCACCTGAGTAACAGGCTGAATGGCCACAGGCTTCATGAGAGCTAACAGATTTATCAATTAAAATCTATTTCTCCTCATTCAGGGACATTGGGGATACAGAGGATACCCCAACAGGACTGCCAGTCACAACCAAAGACGCCAACACGGTCTTCCAGGCGGAGCTCGAGACCCCTTCCTCTCATCTGAGATCAGCTAGGGCAAGAGTTCCGTGAATCCCCCAATAGGCAGGGACAGCTCTACGCCCCTGCCCAGCAGGAAGCAGACACAGAAGAAAAGACCTCCTGTCCCTCAGCTTCCCATAGAGATTTTATGGGGATCGCCTCTCTCAAGGGGAAGGCTAGGTAGGCAGACAGAGGCAGACATCGGGTCTCTGCATTCCTGCACGTCCCACAGAATGTGACCTCCCGGTGACCTCCCCTCTCCACCCAAAACTTCTTTTCATTGTAACTATCTACCCCTAAAACAAATGGGTACAACTAGATCA